GTTCAAGTTTGGGGGTGTGTTAAGTGTATATTTTTACACTTAATTGTACCTTTTAATTGGAGCTTTTGGTGTGTTTAAACGATAATTGGTGCTTAAAATGGTTGTTATTTGTATTTTAGGTACAAATTGAAGAATTGGCAACTTATGGGGGAAAAACTGCAAATTCAGAGAAAAAGTGGGCCAAAAGTGAAAATATCCAAACTCTGAAGAATAAAAGACCGGACGGCCGTCCGGATTTCAGAGCTTATTCTCTCACGGCCGTCCGGGTTCACGAAAGGGCGCAGTGAAGGAAGTTTAATTACACAAGAAAACCCGCTCTATTATATTTGTGCACCCTATTTAAAGGCCAAATAGCACACAATTAGGGATCTATCTTTTTAATCTTTTATCTTTATATTTTCTACACGCAATCAAGGAGCACAAGAACGAAGACGAAGACTTGACGAACCTTCATCATAGTTCTCCTCTTTTATTTTTATTCATAGCTTTTATGTTTTTTCATATTTTTATTATGTTTTTCGTAGAGAACATGCGTAGCTAAGTTTTTATTCTAGGATTTTGTTGGAACCCTATGTGGTAATTCGAACCTCTTTTTCTACTTTTATGCAAGTTTAATTCTTCGATTATTTCTTCTATTTTGATCTTATTTAGCGCATGAACGTAGCTAATTTATGTTGCTATTGGTTATTGTTAGAATTGATTGACAGGTCGTTTTAATAATTAGAACAGGGATAGAAGAACCTTCGAGTAGTTTTCACTGGATGAGTGTGTTAATTGCATGTATTATCGTAGACATACAGATAATACCTTAGGTAGCCGTTTACGAGACTTGTTATTTAATGTTTTATTCATACTAGGTTTTGCATAGACATATAGTGAATCGTTTATGAATAATAGACTCATAATACACGCGACAGCTGGTTATGAGTAATTTCGTGTCTTGGGTTAATAATCGGGAATTGTAACTTGCATGATAGAAGATTAAATGAGTGAAGAATTATCGCATAGGGGGAAGATAAAATCCCTAGATCCATTTTATATTGATATTTTCTTGTGTTTAATTGTTTTCTTAATTAGTTTAGTTGTTTAATTGATTAAATTTGACAACTTTGCGTAGGCTGGATAAAAATCATAATTGTTAGAATTTGGTACTTAGGATTAAATAATTTGCATATTCCCTGTGGGATCGACATCCGACTCTCACGAGTCCACTTTACTACTAATTTGCGATACGTGCACTTGCGTGTTGGTATTTAGCACCCAACAATTGCCTTCCGCAAAATGTAACAGCAAAAAAAATTAGGTAAAATTGTAGAAAGAAAAAATGTTCGAGGAAGAAGGAGAACTTAAATTGAACGGATAAGGAGACAAATAGAAGATTTAGATGGCGGTAGAATATAAAAACGCCTGCTTTCATCGAGCTCACGAACGACACT